TAATGAAGAATCATGAAGGCATTACTCACTGTCCTCTAGTATGCATTGTTCCTAAAAAGAAATCATGCCCATATGGTTCCCTTTCCTTTCTATGAAAGGCACTTTTATCTTACTCCTCTTTTTCTTTTTGGAAGTATCTTTTCTTTCTTCTTGGTAATGGAAAATTTCATAGGTACATTTCATGCTAAATCCTGCCTCTAAAATGTACCTGTACACTCTAAGCCATTTTCAATCTGAAGACTCATGTCTACGTTTTCAGATTTCTTTTTTCTATTATTACTTGGGTCATTGCCACTTCTCCTTTCCCTGTGTTCTCTCCTTTGGAACCACTTTTCGGTAGACATGGGTCCTTGTATGTGGTCATCTTTGTATTTAAATTTATATTCCACCTTTTTATCTCTTTAGTCTATACTTCCAGATAGAAGCTCAGCTTTTTGCATCAGGATTTGTATTATATATACTTTTTTTTAATTTTAGCAATTATATTTTAAATGCATACAGAAGAGTACACAACTCGTGAATGTACAGCTTGTTGAATTTTCACACGTCAGTGCATTCACCACTCCGATCACCCCTCTGCTCAGGAAACACAGCACTATGAGCCCCTCAGAAATCTCCCTCATGCTCCCGCCCAGCCACCACCTCCTCCTTCCCAAAGACAAGCACTTCACGATTTCATACACAAAAAAGATTCAGTTGACCTGCTTTTGTATTGCATGTTAGTGGAATTGTGCATTATGTATCATTTTATGTCTTTTATTTATTTTTTTTACTCCATAGGAGATCTGCATCTTGCCCTATAGCAGCATTTGCTAACTTCCATTCATAAAGAACATGGCTGTCTCACAGTTAAGTTCTTCCAGCATTTCTAATGAAAAATCCTAAACAAGAGCACAATTCACAGAATTTTAGTGGCCACTCTTGTATTACCATATATCTACCCATCTACCCATCATCAGTTCACTTCGACATCAGCACCTCTCCCTCTAAAGAGTATGTATTGCTGCCTTCAACTCAGGATTTGTTAATAGTTTTTCTTCTGATATAAAATTTGCATACGATGAAATGCACAAATCTTTAGTGCACATTCTCCGATTTCTGACACACGTATATGCCTGTGCAACCCAAACCCTAAAGAGAATCCCCTCCCTTTCCCAATTGATGGCAATCCTCACCTCCCAGAGTCCATCACAGCTCTGACTGTTTTCTACGGTGATGTTGTATGATTTATAGCCTCCTATCGATGGGATCATAGTCAGTCTTTACTTAAACAACGCTTCTTTTACTCAGATGGTATTTTTGAAGTTCATCCATGTTGCACGTGGTGGGAGTTTTGTTTTGTAAATTTTTGTTTTCACCGAATGAGATGCCACTGTATGAATATATCATATTTTGTCCATGCCCATGTTATTAGGCACATGGATTGTGTGCAGTTTTTCGCTATAGTCGAATGAAGTTACCAGGAACATCTCTGGACATGTTTTTATGGACATATATACTTGATTTCCTTGAGGTAATTACCTATGATTGGAATTATTGGGTATTTAAAAGAAACTGTCAGATCTTTTAGCAAAGTCTGTACCATTTTATACTCCCACCAACACCTTTACCAACAACTGGTACCGTTCTCTTATTTTTCAGTCATTCTGGTGAGTGTGTAGTAATTTCTCATTATGGTTTTAATTTGCATCTCCTGACTGACTGATGTTTAACAATTTTATAGGTGCTTATTGTCCATTTGTATATCTTCCCTCGTATACTCAAAGATTTCACTCATTTTTTAATTAGGTTGTTTCTTATTTATTACTGCATTATAGGACCTTTTTATGCACATAGATATCAACCCATTGTCAGATTTATATTTTGTAAATGTTTTCTCCCATTTTGTGGGTCACCTGCTCATTTTCTTAGTGAATGATATCTTGATAGTTATGATAAAGCCTAATTTATCAGTTTTTTAATGACTGCTTTGTGAGTCCTGTCTGAGAAAATTTGCTTCCTCCCGAGTCATTATTATTATTTTTAAAGATGAATGGTTTTAGGCGTCAGGTAAGGGTCTCTGATCGCTCTTTAATAAACTTTTGTGTCTGATGGGAAGGAAGAGTCTAGGTTCATTTTTTTTTCAGCTGCACATCCAGTTTGTCAGGCTTTTTTTTTTTTTAAATACTTCCCTTTTCCCACTGGCTTGCTTCGGCACCTTTCTTAAAAACCAAATAAGTGTGGGCAGGTTTAAGCGTGGTCTATATCTGGGCTCTCTACTCTCTGACGCTGCATATTTGTTGATTCTTATGCCAACATCACATTGTTTCGATTATTGTAAGGTTTTATTGCAAACCTTGAAGTCAGAAGTGTAAATCCTCCCATTTGATATTCTTTTCCTAGATTGCTTTTTCCATGCCGTGGTTGATGGGAATTATCTGAAATAATTTTACTTATTTTTTAATTAATTATTCCACCTGACTAGAATGTAAGGCTATAATAGTAGAGGACATAGTTGTTTTTACTCTGTACTGCTTTGCTGTGTCTAGAAAAATGACAGGAACATAGCAAATACTGAATAAATAGATGTTGAACGGATAGCTTCCCATGGGCAGTTATTCAGCCAAGAAAACCTCCTTTATCTCCATAAACAGCCACAACTTTATTTCGGTAGGACACGTACCTAATGTGGTATTCTCTGGTGTGGTCATTTACCCAGTTTCCTTTTCAGATATTTAAAAAAAAACCCAAATACATCTTCAACGTATGGAGACGGATCAACAAAAAAAGCTATTCAAATAATTTAGGTTTTCCATGGGATCTAAAAGTCATGTCACAAGAAGAATTCCAGATAAGTCTTAGAGAATAAAATCATTTTAGATGATTAACTGCAGGAAAACAGAACTAACGTATTTATAATTGTTCTGATAGGCTTTTAAAAATAGTGGTTTTATTTTTATTTTAATCTAGTCCTCAGAAACAGAAAAAAATCAGCTTCTATTAATTATGTCGTGGCCTTTATAATACTGGCACTTTCTAATACACTATTGTTACAGCTACACACAATTTTTATATTTATAGGCTACGAGGAATATTGCAGCCCAGGCCGGCCCCTTACCAAATTGCTCTGGTACATGAAGAATGTGGGGTTGGGAACGATACATTCTGGAAATCAGGGACTAACTCCCCATACCCCACATCTCTGGGGTTCTCCCAAACCTCCTTCCCTGTACCATAAGCACTTCTACCTATATTTACCAACACACACGCATACAGTCCCTGCAGTATACTCTCTCTTTGTCTGGGTGACATTGATCTCTTCTGGAAGGGCTGTAGATAGACATCAGAATTACTGAAAAGACTAATCCCTTTACGAAGAAGATCCCCGAAGGACTGAAAGACATTCCCAGATCTGAAAATACATTTGTCACATGGAAAAAGGCTCACCAAATGATAGGCAGGAAGAGTGAAAAAGGAAAATCCACAGAGAGAATCTTAGACAACTTCAGAAACAAGAAAAACAATCTTAAAACCTTCAAAGGAGGGGTGCCTGGGTGGCTCAGTTGGTTAGGCGTCCGACTTCAGCTCAGGTCATGGTCTCCCGGTCTGTGGGTTCGAGCCCCAGGTCTGGCTCTGTGCTAACACCTCGGAGCCTGGAGCCTGCTTCAGATTCTGTGTCTTCCCCTCTCTCTGCCCCTCCCCTGCTCACGCTCTTTCTCTGTCTCTCAATAATAAATAAACATTAAGAAAAAATTAAAAAAAAAAAACCTTCAAAGGAGAACATACGATCAATTACTTTCAAAAGAAAAAGATCCTGAGTGACAGAAAACTTTCATTAGCAACATCAGCCACCAGAAAACAATAGTGATAAGCTTTCAAAATAATCAAGGGAAATACCTTTGAACTGACCATTTCACTTCCAGCCAAACAACTCAAGATAAGGGGGAAAGCTATTTTGAGATATGCCACGATTCTATAAGTTTATGCCTGTGCAACCTATATTGAAAAAGTTACTCTGGAGTTTGCTTCAGTAAAACAAACCGAAATACAGTTAGAGGATGAGACCCCAGTGAAAAACAAATTGCTACTGAGTGAGACGTGACAGAAGCCAAGAAAGCTAAAAAGAGGAAAAACAGGCACTCAGCGGGCCTAGCAATTTTACAAAGGTCTTTCAGGATGCACAGAATTCTATGCCTCCTTCCAAGTGAGAGACAATAGTGCAGCATGATTAAGGCGCGGAATCGGCAGCCGGGCTACTTAGAGCTAACCGCTGTTTAGTTTGGCTTTTACGGCTTGGTTTGTAAACCTCACAGTATTTTTTTTTCTGAATGTGTATACAGATACAACTAAATGCAGACACACGCACCAGCTCCCAATCTACTGTGAAATTAGGAGGCAACTTCCTGAAACCAGGACTGCCCAAGGCTGACTCGAATTTCATCCGACTCCCCTGCATTTCCTAGGGCCAATTTCTGACCTTCCTATCCACCGAAACGCCTTTCTACTTTCTCACCTTCTGCCACTTTCCTTTACGAGGTCAAAGAAAGCCACTTTCGTGTTGCTAAGGAACACCTGAAGTGTGTTCTCCTTTGCAAGCGTATTATCATAAAGTGCCAGCTCCTCTCTCTTGTCCAGCCAACAAGACTCAGAAAAGGAGAAAGCTCATTCAAGATCACAGGGCTCTGTAACTTTAACACAAAGATCAGATTTTTTTCAAAGACGGTTGCAAAATGAGTTCCATAGCTTTTCTAATGTGCTTTTCCACATTTTACAGAACTCCGCAAAGGAAAGGAAATTGATTACTGCATAAAATGTTTTATAATGTTAATTATAAATTCTTGCTATTACGTGTATTCGGAGTTAGGATACACTTCTCCCACACCTCTATCATCCCTTTTCTCCCATTCTCCTTGTTGATTCTGGCCAGATCAAAGAAAGGCCAAAGAATGCTAAAACCGATGGGCATTCCAGATCTGCCCAGCATGAGAGATTCTAGCCCAGTAAGAATTTTAAAGAAATACCTTCATGTACTCTAACAGCTGACTGTTCCCTTTTTTCATTAGTCCAAATCCAGTCGTTTTCACCAGGGAAGCATGTTAGATTTCCTGCTGCAATCGTGAAAGTGAAACTAAAAAAAAAAAAAAAAAAAAAAAAAAAAAAAAAAAAAAAAGGCAAGCTTCTTCTACTTCGTGGATTCTAAGAAGGCCAGGAGGAAAAAAGCACATTATCAGCAAGAGAAATTTTAAACTGCTTCTTAAAAATGTCTTGCTTTTCTTCTTCAGGTATAGTTCCTTAGGTTTCACTCAAAGAGTCACAGATTTAGCAACGGAGAAGTTGAAAAAGCAGGACCTCCCTACTCGGTGTGGGCAGGGCTAGTACTCTAGAGGTTAACAGATCCCTGAGAGTGAATTCCTCTCTCTCTCTTTTTTTCCCCCAAAACCTGATGCAAAACTGTCGTCAGAATCTAGTAGAGTGTGGTCAGAGTGACAGAAAAAAACCACAATCCCTAATCAAAGCTAAGTAATTTCACTTCTCTTATCTTCTTAGCAAGCCTGGAAGATAAGTAATGCAGAAATTAACATCTTGGTCAAAGAAGACACCTAGTTTACAGTAGAATTGCCGGCTGTGGTAAAGCCGAAGGCCAGTCCTAACACATGCTGCTGCAGTTTCTAGAGTCAGAGCCTATTAGGGAGCACACAGATGTGCTCAGAGAAGTCCAGATTCACCAGTTAGCTCTCAGTCAACTTCACTGACTCCCGGTTGTTGAAGGAATGTGCTTGTCAGAAAAAAAGTGCATTTTTCACTATTGATGTAATATGATACAATATTATTACTACGTTTTTATATAATAAAACACTTAGAAGGAACTGTAGAGATCACCTAATTCAATCCCCTTGTTGGAGACATCAGGCAACCTAGCCAGGTGAGGGATATACCATGAGTTACCATAATGCTTCTTTATTCAAACAAACATGGCAATAAACACGCCTGGAACGTTGAAATAGGTCGCTAGCTGGACTTGATGGCAGAATTGAGAGCAAGAAATGGGTTTGCATTGTGATGCAAAATGCCCTCCCTTGGGCCTCAATCTTAGTGGAACCACCTTGTATTCACCAGGCTCATGGTCACGCTTTTCTCATTTTTCACCTGTCCTATCTATAATACCATAAAAAAAATTGTCTTGGGTAAACGATAGTCCCCCATGTCTACCCATTGGGATATGTAGTAAAACATGACTAAGAGTACTCAAGAGGTTTCTTCTCTGTGAGCTCCTTGAAGCAGAACAGGGTATGTTCTTGGTATTAAAACTCTCCAGCCACTCTTCTATGGTAGGCTGGTACTTTGGCTTCCAATGAACCAGGCTCCTTTTCTGTATTCAGACCTCCGCATTGTCTTTTCCCACAAAGACTCTGGGCTAGGCCACATGACTAGTATTGGCTAATAGGATATTTACTTTTTTTTTTTCTTTTTAATGTTTATTTTTTGAGAGAGAGACAGAGCGAGAGCGGGGGAGGAGCAGAGAGAGGAGACACAGAATCTGAAGCAGGCTCCAGGCTCTGAGCTGTCAGCAGAGAGCCTGATGCGGGACTCGAACTCACAAACTGTGAGATCATGACCTGAGCTGAAGTCGGATGCTTAACCGACTGAGCCATGACGCGCCCCAATAGGATATTATTAAGCATAAAGTGAGCCAAGACTTGATAAGCATTTGCACCTTGGCACTTACCCTCTTCCTTTCAGAACTCAGCGGCTGTGTGGTTAGAAGCCCAACCTAGCCTTCTGCAAAGGCAACATGGAGGAGAACTGGGAATCTGGCCAACGACTCCACTGAGCACCCAGAAGACAGCCAGCAAATTGTTGTCCGTATGAGTCACTCCATATTGGGAGTGGATCTTTCAATCCCAGTTGAGTCGCATGGATGAGATGCCACATGGAGCAGAGATGAATTGTCCCCAAGTTCTGCCCAAATTGAAGAAGAGTAAACAAATAAATGACTGTTGTTGTTTTAACCCCCCACCCCCAAACTGGAGTGGTATGTTATATATCGTTAGGGACACGAAACACGTTCCTTCTACAATCTGACACCCCTACCCATTATGCTTTATGACTCGTTGCATATAAGAGGTTTTCCATAATGTTAGTTGAACCAATGAATAGCTTTTTCCAAATACTTTTTACAAATCGTCTCATAATGCAACAATCAGCTTGGGCTGATTGTTCACATCCAAATTTAATAGGTCCTCAATTCTTGAACTTCTGAATACATCACAGGGCAATTTCTTTCCACTATACGTTCCTTAATTATGCATGAACTTATTTAGCTATTATGGTGGTAGGTGCTACAGTGACAAAGCTCATTATCCCCTTTTTAAGAGTATTCAATCAAAGTTGTTTATGACATATATCCATAAGTGTAAACAAATAAGTCCAGTAGTTACCAGTCTTTTGTAGTATTATGGACAAGCCAATCAATCTCAGAAAAAGAATTCTCGAAGTCAGTCTCTTAAATTTACTAAATTCTTACTGATTTTACTAAAATTTATGAATGTTATAGTTTCCTCCTCCATCCCAAGGGACTGTTTTGTTTTCTTTTGTTTGTTTGTCTGTTTGTTTGTTTTTTAGGTAGGCTTCATGCCCAGCACAGAGTCCAGTGCAGGGCTTGAACTCATGACCCTGAGATCAAGACCTGAGCTGAAATCAAGAGTTGGACACTTAACCAGCTGAGCCACCCAGGCTCTCCTGAGTGAGTACTTTTTTCTGAGAATTGAATAAGATGGTCAATGCCAAAAGTTTCAGAATCTGGCAGCTGTAAGTAGAAAATAATTAGTAATTTACTGTTTGCATATTTATGGAATTACAGACCCTCTGTCCTCTGCCTGCTCTTAATACTAATTCTTAATAAGTTCGGCATTGTCTTTAAAGGACAATTACAGCCTTTTTTAATCCTAGGAAAATCACTTTTTTTTTGATGATTGAAGACAATGTATAATCATTAGGAAGTCTGTTTGCTTAATCGTAAGATTTGTAGAGACGGGCTGGATTATGGTTTTCATCATCATCCACATCTATAAAACTAGACTACTGAAGGCTATATGAGACAGTGTTTATAATTTCCCATATAAATTAAGTTAAACATGAATACTGCATCCTTGTAACTTCTAACATATTAGAGAGTTGAAATTGTGTAGAAAAAAACGGCCTAGTGAGCAGACAGGTTAATATTAGACAAAATAATTCTGCTTTACCAGATTCTATGTCCAAATAGAGAATGGACTGTTGAGGAATACTTAAACTTGGGTCAGCACTGAATATCCAATTTCTAGGGAGCTGCTGAGTATTTAAAAGAGTCAACATCAAGCACAGGTTTAATTTAGAATGGCTCTTTAGAATTTCTGCAATAAATTGGACTAACCTATCTTCCTTGTGTTAGCAGGAAGCCAAAGTAAGGCTATACACTTCCATCATTAAAACATATGGATTCAGGGGCGCCTGGGTGGCTCAGTCAGTTAAGCGGCTGACTTTGGCTCATGTCACGATCTCACGGCTTGTGAGTTCGAGCCCCGCATGGGGCCCTGTGCTGACAGCTCAGAGCCTGGAGCCTGAATCGGATTCTGTGTCTCCCCGTCTCTGTCTGCCCCTCCCCCGCTTACACTGTCTCTCTCTCTCTCAAAAATTAAACAAACATTAAAAAAAAACTATGGGTTTGTAATGTGATGATTGTATTATGAACCTAGATGGAGTTAATTAAGTGTGCCTCAGAGCATTAGACAGGCAGGCATTTTCAATCATGCTCACTGGTCTCACTGCATAGCCACCATTCAGAAAAGACATGATCCTCCTCTGAACCGTATGAAATTCTAGCAGGCACTTCCTTCTCTCTTTTTTTTTTTTTTTTTTGTTTCTAAATTCTTTCTCTAAACTAAAGGTACAGTTCCTCTTACCAGTGTCATTTCCATTTCTGCTCATTGACTTCAGCTGGTTTAAACTGAACTCATCCAGAAAACAAATTCAGCAAGAACTTTAACAAGAGAGGAAATAACACTATGTCCTTCCCCCCTACTCTCTCATCTACTGAGCAGATTTAGAAACTTGAACTTCTCTTTTTTTTAATGTTTATTTATTTTTGAGAGAGAGAGAGAGAGAGAGCAACAGAGCATGAGCAGGGGAGGGGCAGAGAGAGACGGAGACACAGAATCTGAAGCAGGCTCCAGGCTCTGAGCTGTCCGCACACAGCCCACCTGACGTGGGGCTCCAACTCATGGGACTTGAACTTGTGAACCACAAGATCATGACCTGAGCCAAAGTCTGATGCTTAACAGACTGAGCCACTAGGCGCTCCTGAACTTCCCTTCTGAAACAGAAATCAACATATGACACATGGAGCTTCTGGTTTAACCTAAACTTACTTATCTACTTATTTATTTAGTAATTTTAAGGTAGTTGAAGTGGTGATATCTTCTAGTCTCTTATAAATCTGTGAAGGGCATTAGTCTCACTCTCCTTAATTGACAATGGCATGAGATGAGTAAGGGCTCTTTGAATCCTATGCCTTGAACTTAATATTCACTAAAATAACAATTTCACTATCATTCTATGCTTTAGACATTAAAAATTTGAATAAGCTAATGTCCACTGGGCATCCAATGAATGGAGTCCTACATGGCAGACAAAACCATTAAATAATGACCCTTAACACAAGGGAGTTCAAAATATCAAAAGCAACGAATAATTTAACATAATCATATTGAATTGGTCATTGGTGAGAACTAATGCTTATGTAGTTGATCTCCATTTTACAATGCAAATTTTGAATCAACAGAGAAAATTCAAAAGAGAGCCCAGAGTTGGAGAGGCTAGGTTTTTTATCACATTTCTTGATTTCCACCTAAGAGGAAGCTTTATATGTTTCATTAGATGGTTTATAATAAGAATATGAGAACTGGTCCTTAAAAAGTGAGAAGTAAAAGTGGAAGAAAGATGGAACACGTGAAAGTTTTCTATGATAAAGATAATGGAGCTAAAATACATAAACCGAACAAAGTTCAGAAAGCTCCAATACACAGTTTACAGCCTGTAAAGAATGCCAGTCTTATTCTTTATTTAGAAATAAGCCAATATTCAGGGCGCCTGGGTAGCTCAGTCGGTTGAGCATCCGACTTCGGCTCAGGTCATGACCTCGCGGTCTGTGAGTTCGAGCCCCGCGTCGGGCTCTGTGCTTGACAGCCCAGAGCCTGGAGCCTGCTTCGGATTCTGTGTCTCCCTCACTCTCTGCCCCTCCCCCGCTCATGCTCTGTGTATTCATAAAAATAAACATTAAAATAAAATTAAAAAACAAGAAGCCAATATTAGAGTTGAATATACAATTTAACATCATCAAATGAAATAGTAACATTTCTTTTTCTTTAAATTTTCTTTTTCAACATTTATTTATTTTTGCAACAGAGAGAGACAGAGCATGAACGGGGGAGGGACAGAGAGAGAGGGAGACACAGAATCGGAAACAGGCTCCAGGCTCTGAGCCATCAGCCCAGAGCCCGACGCGGGGCTCGACCCCACGGACCGCGAGATCGTGACCTGGCTGAAGTCGGACGCTTAACCGAGGCGCCC